CCCGCGGCGGGGAGGGAGCGAGGGTGTCCCGAGCCATGGAGAGCTTCCTGGGAGGATGCAGGGCCGCCCTTCAGGTACCCCCGCGCGCCAGGGGAGGACTACCAGTCCCATCGGCCTCGGAGGAGTCGGCTGCTCATTTCGTTCCCGGGCTTTGCTCGCTCCCATCATCCCCAGCCACTCCTGGCACCTCCGCCTGGGCTAGATGACTCTGACTCCCATCATCCCCACGCACCACTCCTGCATGGGCTGGGTCTGACTCCCATCATCCCCAGCCACCACTCCTGCATGGGCTGGGCCTGACTCCCATCATCCCCACCCACCACTCCTGAGGGAGCTAGACCGACCCCCATCATCCCCAGCCACTCCCGGCCCCTCCGCCTGGGCTAGACTCTGACTCCCATCATCCCCACCAAATGCACCCTCCGCAATGCGCAAATGCTGGGTTCGTAAACCCCTGTTGGTGGCTCGGGCGGCGTGGACACCCAACCACCCTGGTCCGCAAGCCCCGTCTGCGGCGCTTGAGCCAGGATCTCCTGCGTCAGCCCCCCGCCTCGGGGGTCCTGCCCCACAGATCTGTGCAGCTGCAATGCCCCCAGTTCTTCACCCACTTTCTTGCACAGGCTGTGTTCGGCCACCGCCTTGGGGGGAAACAACCGGACCCGCTTCTAACCAGCCGGCCCTGCCTATCGTCCGCCCGGCCAGATGTTTTGCAACCCGCTGACCGGCCTCTGGTGCAAGTAACCGCGTCTTCCTCCAAACCCGCCTCCGAATCTCCGAAAAGAGCTTTGGCTTTGGCTTCGGCTTCCGAAGCGCTCGCGTTGTGCAGAAAAATCAGGCCGTGCTCTGTCCCTTCTTTCCGTCAGTCGGGTCTCTTTGGCCCCCTTTCCCAGTGGGGAAAACGGAGGCAGCCTGCGGGTCCAACGCCTCTCCGTGCCGGTTGCCGGTTTTCCGTTTCGTTTGTGGCAGCGACGAGGGTGTTCTTGACGCGAATACGGCTTGGAGAGGGCGAGAGCTGCGACCGAGAGGCGCCCAGGGTGCATCGCACGGGATTTGGGGAGGCAACCAAGTCAGGACTGTCCTTTTCCTTGGAAGAAAAGCTCCCCAGAGCTGCGCGATGGTACCCCAAATAGTCCAGCAGCATTGCAGCCTAGTTGGCAGAAACGGGGAGCCCCAGGAAGAGGCAGGCCTTGAACGAAAACATTTTTCCTTCCTTCAAAAATCAGCGCTTGCGTGGCAGCCCCGAGATGGCGGCCTAGGCTCCCACTTCTGGATCCCGGCGTTTGCGTGATTTTCCCCTTCTAAGCAGCAAAAATCCTCCGGTATTCGGTGACTGGGGTCCTGGGGGTGGCCAAGAAGGAGGTTTGGGGCACGTGGATGAATCTGATTTGTGGCCAAGTGGGTGAGGTTTTGTTCTCCTTTCTAAATGGGAAGCGCAGCCCCCTGGGGGTGACCCCGGCCTGCAGCGTTTGGAAACCCGTCGCTGGGTGATTAACCGTCTTGTGTTCTCCGGCCTGGTTGTGAGTCAGACGGTCCCATCAGCTGCCTTGGATCAGAGTAATTCCTCTCCGTAGCTGTTTGGCAGACAAAGGGCACCCTGGTGGAACCACCCCTTGCCGGAGGGTGCGATCTTGTGGAACTCGGGGCCGCCAGATCCGGTGGGACGACTCGATCGACCTCGGACCACGTTTCCGGTTGTCCCTCTAGGTGCCCTGAGAGCGTTTTGCAGAGGGGTGCAGAACGTTTCAGAAACATCAGACGCGTTCGCTTGCTTGCAGGGATTCTGGCCTGGGTCTCCCTGCCAGCTAGTGGGCTGGAGATGAGAGGAGGGGTCGTTCCCCCACATCTGGAAGGATCCCGAGTTGGAGAAGCGGGTGTTAAAACATTCTCAGAGCTGGGAAAACAGAAATGGCGCTGGCAGCATTTGGAGCAAAAGTTGCCAAGGTTGAGAAACACTGGTCTAATGGAAGAAGGGCAACCTGTGCCTTCCTCCGCCGTACCCCGTTGCAGTTTGTCTCCTAGGATCCCCCTTGGCTGTGCTGTGGGGGTCTGCTTGGCATCGGGAGCCCAGTGGGGCAGGAGGGAGATGCCCCTGGAAAGATGACGGTCTTTGTTATTATACTTCTGGTTTCTGAATTCTGCTTGCAAGGCGGGCAGTTTGGGGTCCAACTTTAAGGCAGACAACACAAGTACGTGTGTCTGAAATTGCTGAAATTTTTCCCTTCTGAACTGCCGAGACCCACAGGGACCTGGCTACCTTGTGGGGCAGGCCACCCAGAGACCACGTGACGTCCTTGCTGCTTCAGTTTGCTTTTCCGGGTGACCACTCATCTAAATGACTTCTAAAAGGGCAGTCATTTCGGTTAACGCCTTTTAGCGCTAATGCCCCATCTGTTTAGCTTTTCAGCCCCCCCTCTAATTTGCTGCTGCTTTTAAACCTTCACCTTAGCCACGTCCCCCACCTTTTAGGCCTGCTTCGATAAAACGCCAGGTTATCTGGCCATGGTTTACCGGCTGAGTGCTTGGCAGATGCCTTCTGACATTTTGCTGGAGCTGGGAAACCAGAGTTTGTTTGCAGAGAAGAAAGGTGGAGAAGCTTTTTAGCTTTCCCAAGTGGCTGGCAAAGTGGATTTAAATGAGAGAGCTTCACTTGCGCCGTCATCTACTTCTCATCGGCCATTTTACCCTTCCCCAATGAAAAAAAATCCATGTACGTTTGCGGTTCTCGTCTCACCAGAGTTGATTCGCGTATTCAGAAAAGTATTCCATGGAGTCTTGAAGCACAAGAGGTGCCCCATCATCTTGTGAACAAAATTCAGATGTTTTCACTTGGGTTTTTCTTAGTTCAGCCTGTTCCTCTTTCCTTCCACTTCGACGGGCAAAGGAATCGAGGTAGTGGAATGATGTAGAAATGCCTCTGCATCCACATTTATCGCCCTCTGAAAGTTGGCATTGCGCCCCGTTTACAAATGGTGGCTCTGGCTGAGCAAGGGAGAGCAAGACAGATGCTAAATATTCCCTCGAATCCAGGCTCTGAGATCCGACCTCCATGCGCTGAACGACTGTGGCTTTTATTTTAGGTGAGCAAGAATGCCCTCTTTTGCTCCAGACTCCCTAGACATACCCCTCCTCTGGAAACTCTCTGTTTTCCACAGAGCAGGCCCGTGGCTGCGCGCATATCTCCAGGCGTAAGTACAGCATCAACCACCAAGTGACAGGGCAGAGGGTCTGGGGGCCGGCCACTGGCCACGCAAACCCCGCCGCGGCACAGATACGCTGCCGCCTTGTAAGGAAAGTCAGTTTTGCAGAGTCCAGCCTTTCCATTGCGCTTCAAGGAGCCTCATGTGCAACTTGGAAAGGCACCAGGACTCCTGCCGTCTGGCCATCCTCCTCTGCCGTTTTCCCCACGGCTCTCGCATCCCGCCACCAACAGCCCTTCCCAAGCAGGAGGGAGCATTTCAAACTGAGGTGACTGAGTAGTCCTGCAGCCTGGGCTACAGCCACCATCGTCCTCAGGCAGCTGGTTGAGGGTAATGAGAGCTGGAGTCCAGATCCGGCAGGGAATGGGTTAGGCGCGGCTGTGCAGACCCAGTGCTAGGGGGACGTTTCAGCTCCTTGCGCATAACCTGTGCTTCTTTGCTAGGAAGCTGTTCAGAGCCAGAAGGAAGTCCACGTGGTGCTGGGGAATGAGGCTTGTGATCTGGACTCCACGGTGTCCGCCTTGGCCCTCGCCTACTTCCTGGCCAAGGTCAGCCTTTCGCTTCGCTGCTCTGGGCATGGCCCTCTCTGGGTACTTCGTCCTAGCTTGATGCTCTCTGTGATGCTCCTTGCTGGGGCCGGGTCCCCCTGCCCAAATTTCCACGATCCTTTTGTGATGCCCACAGACATCTCCGGACTCAAAGGCGGCCTTCATTCCCGTCCTCAACATCCCCCGTGTAGACTTCCCGCTACGTACGGAGAGCACCTTCCTCCTCCAGCAGCAACGCATCCCCGAGAACCTCCTCATCTTCCGGGATGAGATCGATCTGGCTGCTTTGCACCAGGCGGGCCTGCTGTCCCTGACGCTGGTCGACCACCACATCTTGCCAAGGTGGGCAGAACCAGGAGAAATGACACAAGGAAAGCCGACCAGTTGCATCTCTGCTTCGCTGATCCCCATTTAAAAATGTAGGGAGCAATGATGGAGAGCAGGGGGCAGATCTCTCCAGATCCCTGCTTGGTCCTTCCGTTTCAAGGTGCAAGTGAGAGCTATCTTAAGTTGAAAAGGCGCCGCAGCTGGGTTTGGACCTGCAGAAACAAGGCAGTCCAAGTTCCCCAGCTGTGCTCCACCCTCCCTCTCAAAAATGACAGCCAGCCGTACCCACGTGCCTCTTGGGTCCCGCTGATGGCATGGAGGGTATTGATCACTATCTTTGTGGCTTCCCCAGCAGGGACGCAGCGCTGGGGGCGGCGGTGGTCGAGGTGGTGGACCACCGCCCCCTAGAGAGGCGGAGGGCCCCTCCCTGCAGAGTCACCGCCGAGCTGGTGGGCTCCTGCACCACCCTAGTGACCGAAAGGATCCTGCAGGGGCCGGTGCGCACGTTGAACAGCCAGGTGGCTGCTCTGCTGTATGGTGAGGGCAAACACACTGATTCAAACAAAATTTTGCCTGTTTGCAATCTGGAAACTTGCAAGTAAATCTGAGCGGGTGACCTCGGAGGGGACGTCCCCTGAATTGGGGCCCTCCTTGACCCACTGCTTTGCTCCGCTAGGAACCATCTTGCTGGACTGTGTGAACATGGCTGCCGAAGCAGGCAAAGTGACGCCAAAGGACACCCATTACGTCTCTCTTCTGGAATCGATGTTCCCTGAGCTGCAGACGAGGAGCCTCGTCTTTGACGCCCTGCAGAGAGCCAAGTTTGATGTCTCAGGTACTCAGGCATCCTGTGTGGGGCTGATGAGGGACGTTTCTTTTAAGACACACGGCAGGGAGCTTCTGCTGAGCTAAGATTGGAGGGTGCATTGGCTGAAGGGGCATTTGCTTCAAATCCTGGCCTGTTTCGGAATCTGATGGGCATTAGAAGGGGAGGGCCAGTTCATTTTCCAAAAACTAAAAAGAGCAAAAGTGATGCCAGGCGGGCCCACAGGGCTGAAACACAAACCTTTGTGTCCTCTGCGAGGGTGCAAAAGAAGATTGCAATCCCAAAAGTTGGGATTGCAGGAAAAAAAATGATCACGGCCAGAGCCTTTAACCATTGGTGGTTCTTATACTCCTCCCTTTGAAGGAATGCCAAATGCCTCCCAGAAATTCGGACTGTTGTTCCCACAGGCCTCACCACGGAGCAGATGCTGCGGAAGGACCTTAAGAGCCTGGCCGGCAAAGGAACAGCGGTGGCCATCAGCGCCATCTATGTAGCTCTTCAGGTGAGCGCAAAGCGTGCGCAGCATAAACCACAGGGAGCAACACGATCCACGGGAGGGGAGAGAGGTTGCATGGGGGCGATACGATCCAACCGTGATCTGACCATGACAAGGGGGACGCCAGAGTCTCCCCGTTTCCGATCACGTAGCCGCTGCTCTGGCAGGAACACCAGATCCACTGTGGTCACTCTGGCCACTGTCCCGTGTCGGGGCTGAGATCAAGGACCTGGAACGTGGAACTGGTGTGAGACATCGGTCCCACGTTCCCAGTTACACCGTTCCAGCTTCACCCGTCTGCTGGAGGACCGGCTCAGACAAGTGGCATCAAGTCACACCAGCGTGTGTGTAAAACAAACAGTCACAGGCTGGAGAGCCAGGTATTCCTGTGAACTAAACTTGCTGGGAGTACCTTGAACGGACGGGACTGTGTGGGCACATTTGCGTGTGATCCAAAGGCCTCGAGAGCGTGTGTGCGAATAAATGCATAAAAATCTGTGACACTGAGAGTCGGCAAAACAAACCGCTTGCCTTTCCCAGGAGCGGGAACGATCCGATTAGCGAGCCTAAATTTGTCAGCACCTGCAACGGCAGGAAACCCTGATTGCATTGCTCTAAACGATCCTTCCTTTAGGATTTCTTGCACCGTCCTGGGCTGGAGCAGGACCTGGGCGCCTTCTGCCGCCAAAGGGGCTACGACGTGCTGATCGCCATGACCATCTCCTTCGGTGCCCGCAACGAGCCATTCAGGCAACTGGCGGTGTACAGTCAGCAGGCTGAGCGCCAGGCAGCGGTGAGATCCTTTGCTCCAAGGTCCCCTGCGATGGTGCCCAGACTGGATCCTTGAAGCTGGCCACGGCCAGGGCTGAACCCACTGATTACGTGATCCATCACCGGCAGGGTCGACGTAACATTCTAATCCCGAGTCCGTGTTACTCAGTCTCGTTGGCTTTACTTCTGTAACCTGCTTTGCCCAAAGGTTTAGGATCCTTTCTTTTCCCAAAACTAGGCTGTTCTGATTTTCCAGTTTGGATGAAAGAGGAAGCGGTGGATGAGCAGGGCCTTCCTGGATTAATTGTGGCTTGCGGGAAGGAAGAAAAGGATCTAGGTGCATCTTAGCTTAGTAAGCTGAGCTTGGCTCACACAGGTTGGGAGTTCTCCGTCCGGTCCCTCCTGACACCGGTGACGTTGGGCGTGTGGCTGTGATGGAGGAGCTGACGCAAGTGAGGCATGGCTGATGGCCAAAGACGTTTGGTGGCTCAGATGTATTTACACCGGGCGTGAAATTAAGACACTCCTTGAAAAGTTCGATTTATAGTGAAAAAGAAAGAAAGGAGAATCAGATCCTGCCATTGCTAAGTTTCCCCCTTTGTCCAATCTCAATGTATTGTGTGATTTTAGGAAGGAACGTTGGAGGGTTTCTTCTGCTGCTAAGAATTGCATCTCGCTTTGTGCCCGGGCAGAGACAGACAGCGCCCTCTCCCCCTTCCTCCTGCCTGCCCTGTTTCTGCCCAGACCCCCTCGGTGGCGCCAGCTGGTGCAGAGGCCCCGCCACATTCTCTGTCCCTTGGAAAGAAGCCTGTTTGGCAGGTTGCAAAGCTGAGAAGAGACGTTCACACAGGCGCCCCTGCTGAAGCATTTGTCACTCATTAACCACAGCCAAAGGTCCCTGAGATTGCCAGCTAAACGAGCAGGCAGGTGGGGAGGGGGAACAGCCTAGGAAGTGGTGGGGAGGGGGGCCGGTCAGGGATCACAGGCATGATAGTCCTTGCTAGACAGCAGCGTCTCCAGCTGGGCTGACGGGAGGTAAGCAAAATGTCTTTTGGGGAGGGGGGTTGCATCCTCTTCCGCCACACCCACATTCCCCCTCCCCTTCTGTCGTCCCCCTTCCCATCTTTAAAGGAGCCTTCTCCGCCTCGTCAGCGGGGTGCCCGGGTTTTGCCAGAAGGCTCCGAATCGCAGGAGCGGAGAGACGATGGAGTCCATCTTAATCCTCTTCGTTGTTTGCCAGTTCGTTTGAATAATCCAACGTGGCTCATCGCGATCCAAAGCGCGTCTGCTCCGGGGCAAAGCCGGGAGGGTGGAACAGGGCGTTTGCGTGAGCGTGGCGGATCGCAGTCTTCCGCACTCTTGACACTCGCGTTGCTTTTTAAAGCCGTGAAAGCTCCCGGGGCAATTCAGAGGGCAGAATGGAGAAATTGTTGTTATTATTGTCAAAGGTTGAGCTTCGAATCTGGCCCATTCCCAGATTTCTGAATTTCCTTCTCTTTGAGCGATCCGGCAGCTTCTGGTCACGAACATCGGTTCGATGCAAAATTTGCAGGCAGTTTTCCTTGGAAGTGCAGTTGGGGAACATCGTTTGCTCAGCTGATAAGCGAACTGCCTTGCCGTTCCCAATCTCTGGGTTTATCTGGGAATTATTTTCCGGCCAACCCAACGCCCAGTCTTGTATTTGCGATCATTTTTCCGGGAGCTGAGACTAGCCATAGGTGTTTCTGTGAAGCTTTCTGGTTCCCTGTGGTTGGCCCTTCTTTTCAAAACCAGCTTTTGTTCTACCTTTGCTTATTTACATTTTAATACACAAAGTAAGTGAAGCTGGCCGCCACCCTGCTTAACCACACGTTGGCTGATAACAAGTTTCAGTGGGTCTGTTGATGAGTTAATCTGCTTGTGACTCAAAAGCCATGATGCTCCAACAGGAAGCAGCATTTTGTTTGCAGCACCATCGGCGTTGTGTTGCAAACACAAGACCTTTGTGGTGCCGTAAATGTTAATGAGTGGATTTATGGCATAAGTTTGCACTGTGCACGCGAGAGAGGTTTTCCAGTATATTAGATGCAGGAACCTGATCTCCCTCGTTGCCTGCGTATAATTCAATCACCCCAAATAAATTCACTCTGTGGTTCTGGGAATGGTTGCTTTGATTCAGTCTTGTCAGACAAAAAACAAACTTTTTCATCGTGTGTAACTTTTTGCTTTATCCAAATCTTTCCATTAAGGAATCTGGCCGATTAGTCCCCCCGTAGCAATGGCACAGCTACAATGCCTATCGTTTAAAATAGCAGTGACAAACTTCTAGCCCCGGGTTCAAATTGAAGCTTGGCTGCAAGTTTCCGATGAGTCTTTTCGACTTGGAAGTGTCTCAGTCCTTTAGAAACATAGAAGGCTAATTTTAATTAAAAATGGAGGGTTTTCCCCCCTATCAATTGCATACCGGCAGGATGCCCGGCTTGGAAGAAAACCAGGCATGGTATAAAAGGTTCAGTGTTCCTCATCCAAAAACCCTTTTTTCTGTCAACATTATCTCCCCAGTTCCTGTCTGAAGGAAATGCGTAGAACGTAATGCTTTAATTAAGTATTAAAGCATCGATGGAGGTTAAAAACACACCAGGCTGTTTGGAAACAAAAAACAAAACGCTATACTGATGAAAATATTTCGGTTTTCACATCACAACCAGCGGTAATCCTTACAGGCAAAGCAAGAAAACAGTGGAAAACGTTTTCCCTTCGTCACATTTCAGAGTTTTTTGTTGCCCTTCTTTCGAAAGGCCTCCTCCCAAACGTTGGGTCAGATAGTCAACGAAGGTCTGAATAGCAAATCCAGGCTATTCTCTTCCAGCGCATCCCGTTTACCGTGCTTTTTCTTCTGCAGAATACAGAGTAGGTATTCTTGGGTTTATTCTGAGCTGAGCCAGGCTGAACAAGAAGGGCTCTTTCAGCAAAGGGCAGAATGCTGTTTTTTGTCCGGGGCATCCATTTTTGTTCAGCTGCTGCTGCTGCCGCCTGGCCCGTCGTGCGGGGCCAAAGGTGGCTTCTTTCCAACCTCCCGGCGGAGTTTTTGAGGTCATTCCTGCTCAGCGGCCCCTGAGCTTTTCTCACTGCCCTCTAAACTAACCCGGCGGGGCGGGGAGGTTAAGGGAGTCTAATTCAGGTTCATGCCAACCCCGCGGAGCCCAGTTGTGTCTGCTTTGATCCCGCGAGGGCGTGCAGTGGGAGCTTTTCCTGTTGAGCTGCAGGCGGAGTGCAGCTGGAGGCCACTGCTTTGAAGCCCTGTGGGGGGCCTGCAGGGCTGAGGGCCCCTTTACGTTGGCAGCGGGCACCTAAAGGCGGCACCCAGATCGAGACTTTGCCCAGGCGGCCTCGTGCCAGCAGGGCGGTCGCTCCTGTGCCGGATTGAATCATGGCTCAGTCCTGCTCCGGGAAGCCCCAAAGCAGCCCGCGTTTCCTCTTCTTTTTTGCCTCTCTGCCCCAGCGGCCCCCTCCCCACGAGTCCTGTGGGATTCGGCGACTCCCGAGTGCCAGCATGAGTCATCCCTGGGTGGTAACCCTTTTCTGTCCCTGTTCTCCTCTGACTTCCCCCTTTATGCAAAAGCTGGAAACACACCCTGAGCCGAGGGTGGCGTGGAGAAGAGCCTCCCTCTGCGGCTGTCGCGTCTGGCAGCTCTCTGGCCCAGGTGGGTGCTGGGGAGTTGGGTGGGGCAGAGGAGCAGGGAGACCCTCCTGCCTCTCGGTAAACGGGTGGGGCGCGAAGGGCTGGGCAAGAGCAAGCGAGGTGGGAGAGTTAGGGCAGGAAAGCATCTTCTGGATTCAGTAGCTCTGACGTTCTCCATCCTCCGCAGGGGAGGCTAGCATTTATTTTAGAAGAGAGGCTCATCTGGAAAAACGCTGCCTCTCCAGCACAGTGGAGCTTCCATGTTTAGCAACAGTCTCCCTTTCAACCCGTTTCCTCGGCGCACGAGAGGATGCTCTTTCATGCTTTGGTTGTGGCTCTCAGAGGCCCCGGTTTGGTCAGTCAGGACTTCGCAACCCAGTGCAGTTCAATTAGCTGTTCTCTCTCAGAATGGAACCTCCATGTTCAGAGTCGCTCTACCTTTGACTAGCAATTGAGGATAATCAGCAGGCTGTGGTTTCCAAATGGTGCTTAAAGTTTTCCAGATCTCCCTATGACCAGGAGGAAGGGGGGATGTGGGTCTGACCCGCCTTCAGAGACGTTCTTAATGCTCACCCGTTCTGGGTTTCTCTGTTTCTCAGGTTTGCCAAGCCTTGGAGCGCTCCAGCAGCCCCTCCCTCAGCCTGTCCCGCCTCGAGAGCCCCTGCCCCACCATCCGCGCCTACCACCAGGGCAACACAACCGCCTCCCGCAAGAAAGTCCTTCCAATCGTCCAAGATTTCCTGAGGCAGCGGGCTGGACACCATCCTGCCGGCCCCAGCATGCAGCCAGACCTCTCAGGCTGCGGCCCTCCCACCAGGGTGGACCCCCAAGGTGCCGGAAGCCGTGGCCCGGACCGCAACGTGGCTGTGAACAACCCCCCGAAGCCTCACCGCCTGGGGGAGGACGTGGCGGATGACGACACCCCACTGCCGCCAACCCCGGTGAACAGCCTCGTGGACGAGTGCCCCCTGCACCAGGGCCTCCCCCAAGTCTTGCCCGAGGCCATCTTCGAGAAGGTCACCCGCATAGCCACCGATCGCTCTTTGGCCCACCAGAGCCCTGAAAAGAAGTGATTCTGGGCACGCCCTGGGCACCTCCGAATTCAGGGGGACTCTCAGCGAGCGGGAGGCTGGCCGCAGAGGGCCGGGAACCCCCTTTGCTTGAATTAATTCATTGTATGACATGATCCATGATTAATCCCCATTGCAGCGAATAGAAAGGAAGGGTGGGGTGGGGGCTACTTAACTCAGCATTCACCACCACCATTCAGGGGCAGGGTCGAGATTAAATTGACTGCCCGCTGCGAAATTGCAGAATGCAGGGTGGGGCAGTTGGATGCTCTGGGGGGGAAAACCGGTGGGCGCAGCGTTCCAGCACCCCAAACCCAAATCCTTTCTCTTGTGCATCCTTCAAAATGGTTCCAATTGATTGTGAGGACAGGATATTGAATTGTCCAGACATGCTTTCCCTGGTGGGGGGGGGGGGACTTAGTTCAAATGCTGTTTATGCAAGGATGACGCACTTTCAGCCCCACCTAAACACGTTCCAGAGCTGCATTTTTAAACTGTTCTTGTTTTTTGCACAAGCTGAGAGTGCAAAAAACTCCCATTAACGGGGACCGAGTTCTGAGGGTGGATTTCAGAAGGTCTCCATCAAATTGAGGACGGAGGGGGACCCGACGTGTCCACGCGTGAAATGTAAACAGTTCTGTTTTGCTCTCTGGATCGCAAGCGTGTCGCAGAAGTGCTCCAGCAGAGTTCACCCCTGTGCATTTTCTGTTAGGCTGAGTAGAATGAGACTTTGGCTAATGCCTCCCTAGTGAATAAAAGCACTTGTATCCTGTTCCTTAAATACTTTACTACACGTTTGTAAAAGTTCCAGTTTTGATACTGGCGAGCCACTCGCCTGCCCAGCTTGCCTCCTCCTCTGCAGTCCAGCCTTAATTTTACGCCTCTTGGCAGCGCCTGGGATGTGCAGGTGGAGACGCTCATCTTTGATGTGGCCCCCAACTAAAGAGAAAAATAAAATAGGATAATAAAGCAACTCGTAGACATGCGAGCGAGTTGAGAGAGGGAATTCCGAGGGGATGACATTCTGTAGTTCTGGGTCGCTCCTAGGGGATAGAAACGGTGTGATCGGAACAAAGTTTGCCCGTCTCACCCTGTTTCTGCCCCCCTGGAACTGAAGCCTCGAAACGGACCCTCCCGTCTCCTGTTCCTCTTCTCCAAAGGTAGAATGGCTCTGAAGCAGGATGTTCCGCTTGGGTACTCCAACTGATAGCCACTGTTAATTATCTCCTCTTTGAATGTCTCCAGTTTTCCTTCTGGGGGCTTTAAATCTGGCCACCGTCCCCCCCTCCCAGGGACAACTCCCGGTGGGAGGAATTGTTTTCCATCCCGAATCAGCTGTCCATCCGCTCCAATAAGGCAGTGGGAGTTCTTGTGTTCGAGAAGCGCGGAAAACACTTCGTTTGCCCCAGCTTTTCGTCACAAATCTCTTACATCTGAAGCCCCCCCACAACTCCCAGGACTCTCGCCTAATTCAACTGGTAAACCACAATGTCTGTTTGCACGTGTGTCAGCCCTCCCGTGACATGTTGAACCTGGTTATGTACTGGCATCCTTTTGTATAACTCACATGCGAGTTAACCCCGTTTCTGGGGACACCCGATATAAACACTGGGTCACAAAGGTAAAAGGAACCAAGGTGAGCCCAACCAGCCAATGCAACTTTGCTTTTAAGTGTGCCCTGTGAACCCAGGTGAGGTTTGCCACACACCGAACGATGCAACCCCCAGAAATGCCATTCCTCCCACCGGATGTTGACTTCCTGTTTGGCTTCTCCCGGAGAATGGATAAGTGCTCAGTTCCAAACCGGTGTGGTGTCCTTCCCCTGTATATATACTTCTATATATATTTGCAGGAAAAAATCAGGGTCCCTGCCCACGAGGGCACGGCCTGGCCACAATCAACATTAGCAAGTAGAAACTAACAGACAAAGCCCGTAAAATCTGTTTCCCCCGTGATATAGCTAATAGGGACCATCAAAACAACACTTGCAGAACCAGCAAATCCTACACCTATCCGCTCAGTCCACCTGCTAACTGGGCTGCTGGCGTTGGCACCATCTCTCTTCATTGCCCGCTCGCAAATCTTTCCAGAACGCATCCGAAGAGGGACACGGCTCAAGTCCCCCGGGTGCGCTGGCCTAGGATTCCCATCCTCCCCAGCCGGCGGGTGGCTGCTTCCTCAGGTGCTCTGCCGCGGCATTAGGACCCAGCAACCCTTCGCCAAGCTCCACGCAGCTTTCCAAGCAGAAAAACCAGTTTGGGATGCTCCTGCGGGCCTTCCGCTGGCATGTCCAGACCTCGGCTGCTGTTTGCATTTGGGTGCCCATCGCAAGCAGGGGAGGCTCGATCTTCTCCTGGCCCGGCAACCCCACATGGGCTCCTCCGTGGGAGACAGCACGACCCTTCCCCCTGACAGGTGAGTCCCTTCGTGGGGGGGAGGACTCTGGAAGAGTTCCCGTTCCTAAAGAAACAGGGGTGCTCTCTTTTCCCTGGCCGACGCAGGGCGTTCACGACTGCCCGGCAAGGCTCAATTCCTTTCTAAGCGGGAGCCTCGCCAGGACTCACCCCCGCAACCCTTTGGATGTCGATGGGAGTTGTAGTTCAACCACACCCAGAGGGCAACCAGGTTTCCCCCGTCTTCTATTGGAAATCCAGCGGTGGCTGTCAAGGCTAAACTCCCCGAGACATAATATAAATAGGAACCACATCACTAAACAAGAAAACAATCTGGGCCCAGGTAGTTATCAAGCCTGCTTCTGCAAACATGCCAACTTAGAAAAGAGGCTTCTGCCAGTAATCTTATTTTTATCGTCGTTTACACTCTTCCGGAATCTCTGGGATCTGCCTAAAGTAAATGTCTCCTTCGAGCCAAGCTGGGGACTTCACGGTTGTGGTTTTCTTGAATGTGAAAGCAGGGGATTCTCCTTCCTTCCTTTTTTGCTTGTTTGTTTGAATTTCCCAGTTTCCCCTAAGGCCAGAATCTCCTCGTGGTCTCCCATCCAAGCACAGATGACCTCCAGCCCTGCTATTAGGCTTCCCAACTCAGCTGCCCTTTTCGTGCATTTCCAGAAACCCTTAAAACAAGCCCCAAGAAGCTTGCGCTGACTTTAAAGATGCGCCAGCCGCCGCGCAAGGTTGTTTACGCCCACCCTTGGGCCCAGTTCAGAGATGAGAAAGGGTGGAGGACTTCATTTTCCGTGCCATTGTCCCCCACTCCAGCCCGTGCCTGGAGAACCATCTTCACAAAAACTTCAGCAAAGGAGTTTGAACGCAGACGCCGTCGCGCACGAGCCGAATTTGAAATGTAGGAAATGTGGTTCTCCTTCGGCAGGTGTGAACTGCCATCCCGGCTCTCTGAACCGGTTCATTCGCTTCGCAACGCTTGGGGTTTCCTGTTGGCCTGCTGGCCGAGCGCCTTTAATTTGTCACAGGTTTTTATTTCACTGCCCGGCCCCGCGTTGCCCCGTGAGCATCCTGTTTACATGGCGTTCTCCCTGAGTCACGGGCAACCTCGGTGCCTCTCTGCACCCGCAGAACTGGCTGGCATCACGTGAATTTCACATTCATAAACGTGATTATCCACGGCCAGGAAAACTCCCCAGCAGGTCTTGAAAGGAAGAGCCTGTCCTGACTGATAGGCGGCATTTGAAGGTAAACTGCTGCTGAAGCTGCAGGTTTTACACTTCACAGGAAAAGCAGAGATTCTCTCTTCTGATCTCTTTCCAATCCTTCAACCCCTGCAAATTAGGATGTTTGTATATCTTCAAATTGGACCCCCCCCCCGTGGGCAGGTGTTCTTCTCTGTAATGCCCCCCAGACCGACGCAGACACATCACTCTTCCTCCGACACACCTGAATTACAGGTTTCCAGCCCTGGCGACACCTTTTTGGTCTGATCTAGCAGGATTCCCTGGAAGTTGTTTATCAAAGTTTAAACATCTCTTGGATGCCCAGGATCAGCAACTCGTGAGGAATAGAGCCTCCAGGTTTGGAGGCATTCTATCTCTGGTGCCAGCTGCCTGGAGACCCTCAGTTGGGCGACCACACGGGGCTGGCTGTGTGCTCCAGAAATGAAAATCTTCCTAGCACACTGCTGGTTTTGTGTGTTTAAAGCACCAAGCCTCCAGCCGCCCGGGGCGGAGCAAATTTCTCTCTCCTGGGCGCGCCAGGAACCCGGAAACCATCGGGCAAACCGGCTGAAGGTTTAGCCGGAGAAAAATCCCCATTTCTTTCACTCCAGCCCTTCATGGTCACTCCAGCCACAGCCCCCCATTCATCAAGAGAGTCCTCCCCCCAGCAGCGCGGAGCAGAAGTGAAAAGGGTTTCCTGCAACGTCCAGGTTGGTGACAGGGCAGGAAGGCCGTGGGGTGGGCGCTCAGCTTACCTCCCTTTGCCCTGCAGAGAAGGGTCGAATTCGTCCCGAGGACCCAAGTGAGGAAGGGGCCCGGGCATCTGGGAGGCAGCGGGAGGAAGGCGAGGCTTAAACAAGTCTTCTTCCAGGCTAACACCCTGGCAACTGAGGAAATCCGCTTAGGAAGACGAGGGGTCGTTTGTGCTGTTCTGGGAAGCGAATCTGGTGCAAACGTCGAAAGGAGGGAGGATAGATTTCGGTTGGACATTACAGGGAACGCCTTGAGGGTACAAGGAAACAGCTAATGCTTTGGATGGCGGACTCAGCCCCGCAAGAGGAGATCCTTAGTTGGGGCAGGGGAATGCCTTCACTCGACTTCCTGCACTGCACGGGGGACCGATTAGATGACCTCCAGGAGCCCGTATAGTTGCATTCACTCAGAGCACCTTCTGGTTGCCTCAATCCCTTTTCTGGGTTCACCCCGTACCCCGAGCCACGACCGAACCCAGCAGGCTGAATTTGCCAGCCCAGAAAGTCGGCGGAAAACCTACTAGCCCACTTTAGGGCGCCGTGTGAATGCGTCTGGTAGGTCTTGATCAGGGGGAGCGCCGCCTGCGATCCTGGCAGGGCGTGGGGGAAACCGGTTGCTCTCTTGCCTTTGCAGGCTGAAGAAGGAAGCCACAGAGGCGTTCTCGCCCAGGCAGGGAGATGCGGCGGGGAACATCCGAGACATGGAATTGAGGGAAGAATGGCAAGACGATGAATTCCCACGGTAAGGAGGATGTCGAAAGGAGCAGGAGGAAAGGTTGTCCAATCCCTTGGGGCTGCAAAAATGTGGACTCCGCATCCAAGGGCAGTCTACCCTTGATCACCAGCGGCTAAAAATCCCTGGGATGCGATCCAGTCTGCGATCGCTTTTCTTCCCAACTCCTGCTGTTTTTTCCCATCCCTGATAAATAAAACAGGGTGTTTGAGGCTCCTGCAGGTGAAACTCGATGTTTAAATTGAAGCGATTTGCAAAACCTCCTCTTATAAGGAAAAAAATTAGAGTTTTCCCTGCACTGGAGTGCTGTTAGATTCTACTTTGCGGATTAAATCGTCTTTAAGCTGTAAAGTCCTAATTTGAATGCTTTCATTCCATGCCTTGATCCCTCCCTGAAGCCAAGATTTCTGAGATCTGTGTTTAGGTCTGAAAACATCCAGATTCTTTTCCTTTTGTTTTGCAGGCCTTTGCCAGACGAGATCTCGGAGGAGGATTTGGAACCATCCAGTTCAGAAATGAGTCCAGGTAAGATTCAGGAAAATGCTGCTCTTCTGGTGACTTTGGTGGAACCTCCATGTTCAAGGCACTCTACCTCTAACCACCCATTACGAGGGATTGCCTTTACGACCCCGTCTGCCACTGGTTCCTTCCCTGCAGTCGCCCCCAACACCCTGGAACTGTGTGGCCGGCGGCACATGAAGAAGCGCCTCGAGGCCCCAGACCTCAGCGAGGGTTCGGTGAAATCTGGGGAGCTCCCGGAAAGCACGCCGGATGGCAGCTTGGACATCAATCTGGACGAACTGGAGACACCGTCCGAAAGCGAGTTACAAGAGGGCCCGGAGAACGGGCATGAATTCGAATGGGAAGGTGAGGCCCCGAGTTCGAGTTTCGAGGAGGCAGAACTAGGGATCCTCTGGAGTCGATCTGCAGTTCGATCCCGGCTGGCAGAGTTCAGGTTTCTGCTTGGCCCTTCCTGATTTTATGCCGCTTGGATTTGATGTCCATTTTTTGCCATACCCATCTCTCAGATGACTTCCCACGGGCCCAGCGGGTACAGGCCAACCTACCAGAGAAATTTTGCACTGGCCGTGTGGTGGACACTAAGGGTCCAGACGGACGGGTGTGGCGGATCTTCCTGGCAGATGATCACGAGCACAAAGTGGATCTGAACGCCATCGAACCTTACAAGAGGGTGATTTCCCACAGAGGTAATTTCATCCCCCAGGCAGGATGAATACCTGAATTTGGAACAACCATTCCTGGTTTGTCAAATAGGAGGGCTTGGATCCTGCCGAACAAGGCTGCATGGTCATCTCATCCTCTTCTGTCCCCTCTTTTCCCAGGCTATCATGGCGAAGGCCTGAATGCCATTCTTGTCTTTGCTTCGTGTTACTTACCAGAAAGCAGTGTCCCCAATTACCCCTACGTCATGGAGAACCTGTTCAGGTAATGTTCACGTGTCCGTTTACCTGAGCTGGGGAGAAGAAGTCGGAGAGGCACTCTTGAAAGGAGACTCCTATTGTGGTTTCCAACAGGGGACAGCTTTTTTTTTTTTTTAAATGTGCTTGCCAGCACTTGAATTAAGGAAAAGTAAAAAAATAAAAATAAGCCTTCGGGCTGATTAACTGGGGACGTGGTTGAGGGGACTTTCCTTCCAAAGTTGCTGAAAATACAAGTTGCACCATACTGACATTCATCCATGGGGCAATGCTCTATAGAGCGTAAAGACTTCCAACTTGGTGTATGTGGGGGGGGGGGAACTAGCATTTCCCTCCCTACTCTGGTTTCTTTAGGCTGTGGATCCCTTTTTCAAGCACCACATGCCTGAATTTTTTTCTAAGATTTTTTTTTTTCCTGAAGAGTGCAGAATTGTTCCAAGGTAAGGGTCTTCTTTCCTGCCTGACAGCATGGACACCACCCAATCAGTGCTGAGCACAACCCCCTGCTGCCTCAAATTTTTCATGGGCTTTTCTCCTCTCCATGAATTGAACCCTGAAAATGAAATTAGGGCAGGGCTCTCTGTTGTGTTATATACCTACAAAGAAATTTCTACAGTGCTCCAGCTATCATCTTTCCATTCTGATCGTTCTGGTGCTACTGGGGATGATAAAATTGGATTTTCTGGAAGGTAAAACACAGGAAATGGATTGCAGTAGATTTTATCATTCCCTGTAGGTATATAGTAGGAACTCTGGAGCTGATGGTGGCTGAGAATTACATGCTGGTGTGTCTGAACGGCGCCACTTCACGGAGCAGGCTTCCCTCTTTTGCCTGGATCAAGCAGTGTTATCAAACCATCGACCGACGGTAAGAGGCGTGGCCAGGCGCATCTTCCAAATTAAAGCCAACCAGTTCGAGAACCCCGGCCCAATGTTTTCAGTTTTTCTGTAGCTGCACCTGAATGTGGCTTCGATCTGAGATCTTTTGTTTTTAAGCCGTAAAGGCCGCTTTTCAAATGCGTCTTTAGAGATGCTGGAAGACAAAATGGGTTTTGTGTTGTTGGTTTTGACGGCTGTTTACAAAAAGTGAGTTTTAGCTGCTGTGCGGTACAAAACGGGGAGCAGAGAGACTTGGCTGGGCTGGGGGATAAAGAGCATTTCAAAGCACAGCTGTCTAGCTGAAAGATGCCCCGTTCTCTCCCAGGCATTAAACAGCAGGATTTTTTCCCCTTTAGTTCTGAATTCTTGAAGGTGAGGCCTGTAGAAAAGGGCGTGGGTGATTATTCATCTGGTTCGTCATCCAGTGCCTTTAATGACAATCTTGCACTCAAGCCACAATAGGAGGGCCTTTCTTAAACAACAAAGGGAGTCTGTTTCTGGATGGAAACTCAGCAAAACATTCTGTACACTGGCAGAAGCAATCTCTATTTTTTAAATGGCATTTTTGCCTCTGTCCTTTCTCCAAGCACTCCAGGGCCACAGATACGGTGAGGCGCAGTAGGCCGAGCAGTTTACACTGCCCCAAGACCACATAGGGAGGCAGAGTGAGTCAAGACAACTTAGAAAGTTAGATATCTCCAGTTTTACCCCACGATACAACCATTTCCCCCCCTCAGAAACGAAGGAGAAACATGCCAGGATTCCGACCTCGAAATCCTGCGGCATGAAGTTCGACTGTTCCTTTCGGTTTTTCTTTCAGGCTTCGGAAGAATTTAAAATCTCTGATTATTGTTCATCCCACGTGGTACATCAAAGCACTGATGACACTGTTTAAGCCTTTTATCAGGTGGGTATGGTGAAATCCCCAGCAGTTAAACAAATAGAAGGATGCCAAGGTGGATTAAAAAAGACATTTGTATTGTAGCCACAAACACAGGAACGCTGTCACCACCCCTTACTATCTCTTGCTTTCTCCAGTTCCAAATTCAGCCAGAAAGTGCAGTTTGTAGACAGCCTGGAGGATCTGGCCCAGATTATTCCCTTGCAGCAGATCCACATCCCCGACTGCATCCAGCAGTGAGTATATCCGACTAGCTCGCATCTCAAAAGTCACTCCCAACAGCAAGACGGCGCCTGTTCTGAGGAGACACTCAATATTGGCAAAATATGAAAACCGTATTTTAGGAGCAGAAAATCCAGCCATGTCTAACGCAGGATGTTCCAGCAAAGCAGCAGTCATGAACAGTTACTTCCTGCCGCCATGTTTTATGGCCAACGCACCTCATGCATGTTCATGGGAACATTTATGTGTTTACGTTTACAAAAGCACATGGGAAATGTCACCAACCGCCAGCTGTTGGGGGGAAGCAACAGAGGCCTGTCACTCAGCTGCAGCTACTGTGGTTGGGGACGATGGAGGCTGGAGTCCAGTAGCTGCTGTCCCCAAAGTCATGCTTTATGAGGCGAAAACCTAGTTGCCCATTCCTCGTCTTCAGTGGTCACGTTTAAGCACGTTCCCATTCTTTTTCCCTCAGGTTACATCAGTCCAGGGCCAGTTCCTGAAGTCACCAAGGAGCAAAGCTGGCTGGACTTTCTCCCGGGACCCCGCAATTCAATGATTTCCCTCTGTCTTGCTATGATTCTTAAACGGATATGAAAAGCAAACAAACGCCGCTTCACTGCCGTCCCCAAAGTCATGCTTCCCAGGCTGCACCGCCCTCATGGGGGAGCGGCGGTCCGGCCCTGGGCACTTTCCCCCCGGA